ATTTAAGAAAGGACTTGTGTCGCTAAAGTTTCGTCGGAACGAATTTACGGAAAATTAATTAACGAACCGAGACGTAACAGTAATTTAAAAACCTGTAAATAGGTATCATAAAAAACTAAGGAAACAAGGCTGAAGATATTGTGAATATTATTTACTCAAACTACAAATCTCTATTTTGACTCCACCAAATATAATTCTAGGTAACAGCATGGTGCCAAAATAGGGGTTTGTAGTTTGACTTAATAATGTCTCCAGCCTTATTTCCTTACATTTTTTACAATTGCTATTTGCAGGTTTTTAAATTCCTATTTTTTATTTATCTTGTATATATATATATTCATAACTATGAATTATTATTATACAGAAATAATGCTTCATATTAACTTTTATTGAAGATTAAAATATTTATACCTGCAACATGAGCCAGCCCGGTATCCTGATGTGGATCAAAAACAACAACAGAAAAAAAACAAAAACAAAAAAAAACAAAAAACGAGTCATTCCGGAAAGGTTTGGATTGTTTTGATTAGACAAAAAAAAAAAAGACATCTGGCACTATTTGCGAGGTCTTGGTCGCTGGACCAGACCCATGACCTGACCCGAGGCCATGAGAACTAACGTGGAGAAGTTAACTTGTAAATGTAAAGTAAAACGATGTAGCAGTGAAACGTGTTTGAAGTGTTCTAGATGTGGTTGTGAATGTGATGGTTTAAATGTAGTGATTAAGCCAAACCGAGAGTCCAGGTTGGGTGAGGGAAGAACTTATTCGAAGATATATCAACCGAGCTAAAATTCCAGCTGAATAAGAGATTCGTCAATTGATTACTGCATTGACAGCAAAACATAAATAAACGGGCACAAGAGTATCCTTATTTTCAAAAAGGGGGATTGGAATCATATATAAGAAATAATTAGTTTCAATATTTTGTGAAACTACTGGACACTAAAGCACAAAGACACAATGTTGAAGTTGAACCAGATGCACGATGCATTACAAGATGATTTCCCTAGCTATTCACAAACTAAAATTGCCATTTCGGCGATGAAAAATAAATATAAGAAGGATGGTATTATACTCATTATGGTACCATCATTGTATAATCCATATATATATTTTTCCTTTTATCATATTTTCATTTAGTATGTGTGATTTTTTTTTGTCGTTTTAGAAGATGTACAGAGCTTCATCCATCGAAATAACCCTAAATCATCGATTTCCAGAATGACCCCTTCTGTTGACCATCCTAGGCTCAGTACTAAAAGATGACATGTATTAAAAGTATAGCAACTAAAGGTTTTGTTCAAATTCCTTCCCTTTATTAAATTCCTTACTGATTAAATTATGTCTAGTAAAATGATTTAGGGCTTAACTGATAAACGTATAATCTTACGCAAAACAATGTTAGGGCTGTAAAAATGGAATTGATCTGGACGAGTGGACTTCGGAAAACATAACACTTTTCAAAAGGAGGCACCACCATACAACGGGTAGGTGGACCAGTCCGCTATTGTATAAAGGGTACATCAAAGATATCCTCGCTGTTTACACTGTAGCAATCCCTAGGCAATTCTTTTAGAAGAAAAAATATCTACTTTCCTACAGAAAAATCAGAGTTGATCACAGTGTTTGTTTTAAATTTCGCGCAAAGCTACACGAGGGCTATCTGCGCTAGCCGTCCCTAATTTAGCAGTGTAAGACTAGAGGGAAGGCAGCTAGTCATCACCACCCACCGCCAGTTCTTGGGCTACTCTTTTACCAACGAATAGCGGGATTGACCGTCACATTATAACGCCCCCACAGCTGAAAGGGCGAGCATGTTTGGTGTGACGGGGATTCGAACCCGCGACCCGCAGATTGCGAGTTGAGCGCCCCAACCACCTGTAATTATTTATTACAAAAAACAAATCTTAATTCCTTCTTTTGCCTCGGAGATTTAAAATAAAATGAACGATTTCCTATCCAAGTTGGTTTAATACTTTTAACATTTGTAGTATACATATCTGTATCATGGCGAATAACAACTAAAACACAGAAAGTTACGAGCTTCTTCTACATTGAGAAAAAACGTGTAAAAATAAACAAATAAGACAAACGTTCATAATTGATTAAATTACTCTTTAAGTCTTTATTATTTTTTTTATTTTGTCTACTACATAATATGGTTCTCTTTATACATCCTTCAACAATACGTGTTCGCTTTCTTTAGTAATTTCAATACTTTGCTTCTTTGAGGTGACACTGGTCAATACCGGGGTTTAATTCAGAGATAAGGTCGTTTTACAAATCGAAATAAAAATGGTGCTACACTAATTATATTATACTAGACTTAAATTATTGTACTGCCAATATCATTGTTAAAAAATAATAACAGCGTTAATAACAAATAAAGCTATGAATATTCAGCGAATTAAAAAAAAAAGATGACCGTTTCAATATCTATGTTTATCAAACATTTGGAGATTTTAAGCATTTTCAGTTTTTTACACTGACCAAAAGAAATAAAATCACCTAACCAAACTGGTTATGTGCATATCGCTAACGATCTTTTTATATAACTGTTCTCAAGGGGAAACAATTTACAGTTCCCACTCCTTCCATTTGTTTATTTAAATATGTATTGTTCCTTGATTGTTGAATCTAGTTTATATACAAATAGTTTTAGGATACAATAACATACTATGGCTATCATAATTTTAAAACTCGACACACAAATTTAAAAAAACAAACTGATACTCCTTCACCTGATAACTTTTTTAATTGATTACTAAATAATCAACATAAATAATGCACAGAAAACCAAACCAAAACCTTTGTGTTTACTAGTCAGGCGAGTAAGGTATTGGCAACTTAATTCATCTTCTACTTAAACTTGATGGAACGAGACAGAGTTTAGGCGCCATTAATCAGATCTCATTAAGTGCACAGAGAATTCATGCCCTAAACACAGTGTTTTTTTTTTTTTGCTTTGATGCTTAACTAACATAAAACAGATTTTATTAAAGTGGCTTCAATTTTCTGTGTGTAGATAATAATCATATTTGAGAAGATATAAAGAAAGGCTAGAAAAATAACTTAGTAAACCTAATCGTTGGGTAGTCCATCTTCTTCAAAATTTGTAATAGATCATTCTTACTTAATATAATAACTTTCATAACAAA